AAATGTGTCCGGTTGACCGCGTCCGGGAATATGAGAGCGTATGTTTGCCCGCCTATTACTGACAAACATGGCAGAACCGAGACGATATTGAAAGCCCTGATTGAGTTGGGACATGGCCGCGGCTCTATTACCATACATTGGGTTTGTTTTGCCGCGTGGAGTCAATGAATCGACATATATGATCTTGGGGGTAGTCGTGAACGAAGGGCATGCAATAACGTTGAATTAGTAGCGGGTCGCCGGGTCTTGTATTCTGCACGGTTCATCCTTTTAAATCTCTGATTGTTCCTGAATTTTATTGACAGTATACATACACAGTGTACACAGAGCAAATCAGTGAAGCAGGGGGAAGCTTTGTAAAGTCCGGATATTATTATTATCACTATCTCTGGAATGTCATTGTAATTGTTTGTAGTGAGTGAGTGAGTATGGTTTTACGCCGCTTTTAGCAATATTCCAGCAATATCACGGCGGGGGGACACTAGAAATGGGCTTCACACATTGTACCCATGTCGGGAATCGAACCCGGGTCTTCGGCGTGACAATCGAACGCTTTAACATCTTGGCTACCCGACCGCCCCTGTAATTGTTTGTAGCAGATTGATAATATATAGCCTAGACATGTCCATCAGGTTTCTGGCGTGCCCAAAGGACGCAACTCTGCACAACCAATCGCGGCGCCTTAGACGACTGGACCACCCGTGCACCCTGTTAACAGCTAAATTGGACCTAACGTGGTGTTTCCCTCGAATACATGGAAACAATCTGGACTGCCTCCGTGGTCTAGTGGAAAGAGCATCTGTCGGTACAGAGGAAGGTCGTGGATTCGAAGGCCGGTCGCGTCTTCTATACCAAAAGACGCTAATAGATGGTACTTGATGTTACCCTGCCTGGCGCTCGGCATTAAGGAGATAAAACAAGGACTGAACGATTCAGGGTCAATATACTGTTGGTGGGGTATTCATGTTAAACTACGGCATGGTATCTCAGTGCGATAGCTCTATAAAACCGGCATTAGTCCTCACGCACGCACGCCAAATCCCATTTCACCTCACCTCATCTTTAACAATCTCGACTGGAGGGGAGGACGGTTAGGTTGTCTTGCGGTTAAAGCATTCGCTCGTCTCGTTTAAGACCGCAGTCAATTCCCCAATATGGGGTACAAGGTGTGGAACCCTTTCTTGGTGTGCCCCCGGTTGTGTATAGCTGGAACATTGCCCAGACGGTACACGATCAGGAGAGGTTCATCCAATGTATGACATTTTAATAAAGAGTCGTGTGAGCCGGTAGCAAACGAAATGCCGGACCTGGATCAACTTTACCGGTCCCCTTGATCGCTTATAACAGATCTAGTGTATAATAATGAGATACAAATCCTGTATGAAATGGAACAAACCATAACGAGGGTCGCAAACGAGTAACATTATAGTTGCCCACTGTGTCACATTTTGTGTTCGATATCGAGCACATCAACTAACTACATCGCCACAATGCTGAGTGGTTAAAGCATCCTTTAGGCATACATAGAGGCTGGGGTTCGATTCCGCACAATGTTACACTGTGTGGTTGGTTTGTTGTTTAACGCCGCACTCAGCAATATTCCGGCGGTCTGTAAATAATCGAGTCTGGACCACACAATCCAGTGATTAATATCATGAGCATCGATCCACGCAATGGGGATCGATGACATGCATCAACCAAGTCAGCGAGCCTGACCACCCGATCCCGTTAGTCGCCTTTTACGACAAGCATAGTCCCCTTTTACGGCAAGCATGGGTTGCTGAAGACCTATTCTACCCCGGAATCTTCACGGGTCGTACAATGTGTGATTTACACTTCTGATGTCCCCGACGTGATTTGGCTCGATACAAGCTGCGTAAAACCCTACTCCCTAACTCTAGTCGTGAGTTCGAATCCCACATACAACCGATATTTATGATTGTGCTTCAATATACCCGTTGGTTTAGCCAACGTTGTAAACGTCTGACATTTATAATGTCGAACTTTCTTCCTTGATGGCGTGGTGGCATACGTAATTCTGAAATTCTGTTCAAAGCAACATTAACCGAACCATAGACTGACGTTTAGTCCCAGAAATAAAGTTTTCTTATTTTAAAATAAATATCCACAAAATAAAATAATCCAAATGGAGCCCAGAAACATTCTTACCAAGAGCAGTGGCAATCTAGACATGCCAAACTTTCTAGACTTGAGTTGGACACCTTTTTATTTTTTTCTCTAGGATCTGGGAGCAGTCTCAATCACTACGTCCCTGAGGGGACTCGGGCTCAGTAGGTCTCTAGGAATCTACCAGACTGGATGGGGTAGTCAGGCTCCACGAATACCCTCGCTGTAATATTGCTGACTGGTGTATACAACCACAAACACGAATCTCACGCTACCGAGGGGCGGTCGGGTAGCCTAATGGTTAAAGCGTTCGCTCGTCACGCCGAAGACCCGGGTTCGATTCCCGACATGGGTACAATGTGTGAAGCCCATTTCTGGTGTCCCCTGTCGTGATATTGCTGGAATATTGCTAAAAGCGGCGTAAAACCATACTTACTCACTCACGCTACCGAAACCTAGTGAAACGAAACTGGAACCTACACGAAGTGTCAACCAGTTTCTTACCCAAACCAAACCATATATTTGTCAATAATGTACTACTTAAAAGAACGCCCGATTCTTTCATATTACTGTGATTAATCTGTCTTAAAATGTTCTTTAACTTCTTATGAGTAGTATATATCATTGAAACAAAGTACCAAATGAATGTTGGTATTAAGGTCTGCAGGAAAGATTGAATAACGTCGGGAAGATCAAAGGCGGCGTATTTTTTTAAACAAATATAAAAACGTGGCCATAAGTGTTGAAGAGTACCTCAATCAATAGACGTGCAACTGTAGCTTTCCGTCGTTAGGCAAAGGTTAGCCTATCCAGAACTGATTTGGGAAAAATCGATCACGAAATGTTCTAATTAGGATAGAGCATACCTGGACAGGTAGATGTAGCTGGATACAGGCGAGAACCCTGGAACGCGGAGTCGGGTGTATGTAGTGAAAGTTCCGTGATTTACAGGGACTTGTACAGACACAGACTACATACATACTGATGGCAGGAAATAAGGGAACATATTAAAACATTAGCAAGTTTAGTGCTGCGGTACTACAGTTATTGATTGTTTTTACCAACACTATGAGACAGAAAGAGCTATTAGTATACTACTCAAAAGAATTGAAAGTACATCCGAACCTTTCATATTACAATAGTAATCTATATAATCTATCATGACATGACAATCCCGGGTTCCTTAACTTCTTTTGAGTAGTATGGACGTGAGACCATGTTAATACGGACGTATCCTCCGCAGTGAGATTGTCCAGAGTGATAACCGAATTATTGTCACCCAGGTATTGGTCCGTGTGTCTGTGTCAGTCTGTTATTTCCCAAAACACAAGCTGATATGCCTTTACCAATGTGTAATAAAGGTATAATCTTGAGATTAAAAACCAAACAGTGCCCAGAACCGCATTTGAAAATACCGGTTTATAGAGGTTGTCGGTATACATAATAATTTGTTATTGTGTGATGGAAAATGTCAGCTCGGGTCACAGTTCAAGACAGTTGAACCAAAATGTTTTCTGAAGATTTTTCATTTTTGCAAATGAAATTTAAACAAATACAAATAAGCAATTTGTGTGTCTAGTTACTTTCATTTCCAATTTGCTGTGACTTCTTGACCCTAATACGCATTTAACGGCAAGATTGAGTGAGTATGGTTTTGCGCCGCTTTTAACAATATTCCAGCAATATCACGGCGGGGGACACCTGAAATGGGCTTCACACATTGTACCCATGTCGGGAATCGAACCCGGGTCATCGCGGTGACGAGCGAACGCTTTAACCACTAGGATACCCGACCGCCCCTTAACGTCAAGAAGCTACCCTGGTCCTTATGGCAAGTGGTTTCTGCATGTGTACATATTGGATCGATCAGTATGTAAAGCCACATAGCCAATATCACATTTATTGATTTTCATTTATCAATATATTATATGTTCAGTTACGGTTAGCTATGGGTATGTGTATGCATACTACTCAACCTTTAATAGGGTTATATATATTATTCCATTATACACATGGTAGTGACATATGCTCAAATAGCATAGATGCAGTCGATGAAAGGACGGACGGACCGACGGACGTGACTGTTGATGGGATAAGATATAGACATAAGAAGACCTAAGCTTATGTTGTGTATAATTGTAGTTCCCTATGACCTCAGGGGCGATGGGGAAGCCTTGTGGTTAAGGCGTTCGCTCGCCGGGTTCGATTCCCTACATGGGTGCAATAAGTAAAGGCTATTTAGGGTGTCCCCTACCGTGATATTGCTAAAAGCGGCGTAAAACCATTCTCACTCCAATGTGGGACGAGCCAGTAGGGATCGTTAACTGTTGTACCAGAGGTTGTCGATATTCTGACTATTGCGGCGTAAAATTGCGCTCATTCACCTTATGACTCGGGGGTTAGCAAGGCAACAGAAAACACTTTCAAATTCCAGTCATACACAAGTTAATATTTGTTTTGTCACCATCCTTTGTAACCAACCTTTACTTCCCCCTCTATGGCGACATGCCCATAGCACTCATGCCTTTTGTATGCAACGCATGTCTACAGAGGTAATTTCAGATTAATTCACTCCACGAATCTACATTTAATTGAACATACTCAACCTATGTCAGTTTTAGATCTAACCCTGTCCTCCATGTATAATATTGTACCAGACTTTAAACCGCTTTCGGGCTTTGAAACCCGACCCGTTCTTGTGTGGTGTATATAATTTGAGCAAGTATCGCTCTATTCAAACTCACCGGTGCGAATCATCTGTGTACGCTTATAGTACCGTTATATACAGCCCATAGAGAACGCTGCATGGCATGTACATGTCTTGCTAAAGCTAAGCATATTTCTTGGAGATCGATTAAATATTTTAAACCTACCTGTAATATTGATGACGGTTTGGGTATAAGGTCCGACAGTCTCACATAGCTGACTGTGTTTCACCTGAGAGTCTGTCACCTTTTGCTACCTGGCTCGCTCTCTCACCTGTGTTTCTAAGGACGCCGCACAGACCTGTTTGCGGCAGCTATCCCACAATACAACACGGGGATTAATACACCGGTTATTGTGAGAGGGCGCGCTCCGACAGAGCAAATGTCGTGTTTGATATTATGCCTCGCGACGAGTAACGGGAATATTATAGAAATGTCTTGGTTCCCATGGAAACGTTGGAACTGTAGATCCATTAGCCCACTTACATATTTTGTAATGTAGCATTAGATTGTTGCTGATGTTATTATTCGGTCTATTGGCGACCCGTTAAGAGCAGAAATAATGGAATGACATTTTTCTCTGTCATTTTCTCTAATTGTTTTTTCCGCCTCTCCCTTTCCAATTTTCTTTCTCCTCCTGATGATAAATCACAGATCTTACACCTTTCTTCTTTCCCATAACACACGTCACGCGTTTTGTGTCACTTCTTTCCCATGACACACAAAACTTGTCACCCCGTTTTGTGTCACGTCTTTCCCATGACACACACAACTTGTCACCCCGTTTTGTGTCACGTCTTTCCCATGACACACACAACTTTTCACCCCGTTTTGTGTCACTTCTTTCCCATGACACACACAACTTGTCACCCCGTTTTGTGTCACTTCTTTCCCATGACACACACAACTTGTCACCCCGTTTTGTGTCACTTCTTTCCCATGACATACACAACTTGTCACCCCGTTTTGTGTCACGTCTTTCCCATGACACACAAAACTTGTCACCCCGTTTTGTGTCACTTCTTTCCCATGACACACACAACTTGTCACCCCGTTTTGTGTCACTTCTTTCCCATGACACACAAAACTTTTCACCCCGTTTTGTGTCACTTCTTTGCCATGACACACACAACTTGTCACCCCGTTTTGTGTCACTTCTTTCCCATGACACACACAACTTGTCACCCCGTTTTGTGTCACGTCTTTCCCATGACACACACAACTTGTCGCCCCGTTTTGTGTCATTTCTTTCCCATGACACACACAACTTGTCGCCCCGTTTTGTGTCACCCCGACTTGATTATTTACAGACCACCGTCATATAGCGTGAATATTGCTGAGAGCGGCGTGAAACAACAAACAAACACAACTTGCCACCCCGTTTCGTGTCACTTCTTTCCCATGAGACACACATTGTCACACGTGTCTTGCTTGTTCTTTCTCATGCCTCGTTCAAATTGTCTTGTCTTCATGCATTTTATTTCCCCTTTCCTCAGACTAACATCTCTCGTAACTTTTCTTCTATTCTTGTTTCTCCCTCCCCTTCTTTCTTTTCCTCATCGACCCGTGAAGATTCCGGGGTAGAATAGGTCTTCAGCAACCCATACTTGCTGTAAAAGGCGACTATGCTCGTCGTAAAAGGCGACTAACGGGATCGGTTGGTCAGGCTCGCTGACTTGGTTGATACATGCCATCGATCGCAATTGCGTGGATCGATGCTCATGATGTCAATCACTGGATTGTCTGGCCCAGACTCGATTACTTTACAGACCGCCGTCATATAGCTGGCGGCGTTAAACAACAAACAAACAAACAAAACATCTTTTCCTCATCGTTCTTCTCTTCAATCCGTTGTGCAGAGTTGCGCCCCGTAGTTCAAGAATTCTATGATCACGAGATTGAATCCGAGAATCGCAAGTTTGTTAGCACCAAGCCATGCTCGTGCTTTAACAACGAGTTCTTGCAATAAAGTATCAGACATTTATATGTAATACCTACTTATTTTACCGTCCCTTATGGACAGAACTTTATAAATCAATACAACTACTCAAATAACAATAGAGCTCAGAAATGTGCTTGACATCTAAGACCTACACTACCCAGGGCAATCCTCCCTCGTCAAGCTGACGCCCCTTGACCTAACTGAAATACTTGCAAGTCGGGATTCAGACCTGTAAAGATCCGGTTAGAATAGGTCTTCAGCAACCCATACGCCATAAAAGGCGACTGTGCTTGTCGTAAGAGGCGTCTAACAGGACCGGGTGGTCAGGCTCGCTGACTTGGTTGATGCATGTTATCGTATCCCAATTGCGTGGATCGATGCTTATGATGTCAGTCACTGGACTGTCTAGTCCAGACACGATTATTCACAGACCGCAATCATATTGTTAAAATATTGCTGAGTGTTGCGTTAAACAAATAAACAAGTCGGTTTTTAACTCAAATTGCGTTCTCTTCTCCCTTCATTTCTCTAGACTAGGTTTCAGTACTACATGCTGCTACTTCAGTCAGTTGGGTGGTGACTTGGCTGGTTGTTTGTCGTCGTGCCGCATCCAGTCGCGTGGGTCGTTGTTCATACTGTCAACCAACGTTGAAACGTTGCACCCTCAACTCACTATTGCCTAATCTTGCAAGAGGCAGTGGGGTAGTGGTTGAAACGTCCGATCGTCACGCCGAAAGACCGGGTTCGATTCCCGAAATGGGTACAATGTCTGAAGCCCATTTCTGGTGTCCATCGCCGTGATATTGCTGGAATATTTCTCAAAGCAGCGTAAAACCATACTCACTCACTCACTCACTCATTAGTCTTGCATATCTCCATCTGTTCTCTTCTGCGATTCACTGCGCAGATTTGCGTCCCTTTGATGTGATCCGACTGAGGTTGTGGGTTCGAATCTGATTTGCCCTGATTATATCCATTGGTCTGCTGGTCGATTTCACCAAAGTAGTAAACATGTAACTCACTCACTCACACTTCCTCATGTCTCCTGCCTTTCTCCATCTTTGTCAAATATAATTCTCCTTTCATCCCCAACTCTTTTTTTTCCTCTTCCCATTAACATTGGTTCTGGATATCGTGTTCTCTCCATCTGTTCTTCCTTCATCTGGCAGTTCGGGATGGTCGGGTAGCCTAGTGGTTAAAGCGTTCGCTCGTCACGCCGAAGACCCTGGTTCTATTCCCGACATGGGTACAATGTGTGAAGCCCACCGCCGTGAAGCCCATTTCTGGTGTCCCCCGCCGTGATATTGCTGGAATATTGCTAAACGCGGCGTTAAACCATACTCACTCACTCACTCATCTGGCAGTTGTCTCCCTTCTTCTCCAGCTTCCACTCTCCATCAAGTCTACGTACGTGTACCCCATCACACCATACTGATGAAAGACAAACAAACTCTTTCAACTTCCATCTAATCCAATTTGGCAGTTATTGTCTTTACTATTTTTGTTCAAAGTAAATTGGGCATTACAATCGATTCCTTCTCCGAACGTCCTATAAGCCTCTGGTATCCATCTCCTTGTCCTCAACACAGGCAGCAGGGGAACACCGGCATCATCAACGGTCCTGTTGTCATGGCAACCCTCATTCCATTATAAATCTACTTTTCCCATCCGTTCAGCTAGGTACTTTCCTTCAAATCAATGCTGGTCGAGCGAGAGCCGAGGCACACACATAACTCGGGCCATTAACCCGTACGAATAGTAATCGCTTCCTCTAAAGCGGGAGATTCATCTTTAATGTAATAAACCATCACGCTGTTCTGATCAAATAAAATAGTCCATAATAACTTCAATTTTAATCTCTGTAAATGCGTACATCAATTAGCTTCAAAGGCGTCCCTTTGGACGCTGAAATCTCGAGGAAGATGCGGAACAATAAAAATGAAACTGCGGTCGTAACGTTCCGAATTGATGAAGTTAGCCTTTCGTGCATCCCCATTTAGTAGTACGGAATCAGTACAAGGATGCATTAGGCCGAGATGCATCATCTTTGCAACTCACGTGTGTCCGTTTTATTCCGAAAAAAATAATTGGTGATGGTAACGTTGCCTATAATAACAGTATGTTGACCTGTAATCGAAAGAGTATACGGTGTTCCACTGCTGGGCCTTCTGAGTGCGTGAGTGAGTTGTGTTTCACGCCACTTTTAGCAATATTCCAGCGATTATCACAGCGGTGGGCTTCACACATTGTGCACATGTGGGGAATCGAACCCAGGTCTTTGGCGTGACGAGCGAACGCTTTAACCACTAGGCTACCCCACCGCCCCGCTGGGCCTTCTGAACACGTCGAGTTTCGCCAGCGTGGTAAACGTCTTAATACATGGGCCCTGTTCCACGAACGATCTTAGCGATAAGGGTGGTCGCAAGCCCCATACTCTCCAGTTAGCCCGATACAGACTCATGGCGTTTACAGCTTTGGTCAAACCACCGGACATGGTATTGTGCTTACAAACCTAAGATCGTAATACGAATCTGGGATTTGAACCTACGAACATCGTATTCTGGTACGACTAAGGGATGTAACTCTGCATAGCAACTTGCGGCGCATCAAGTGACTAAGACTTGGAAGTCTCTGGAAATGTATAACTTTGATAGAAACAAACAACTTCCTTTAAATTGAAAAGGAGACTCAGTGAGGTGGGAAATTCAGAACCTGAGTCTGAGGAAAATCTAGACTTGCTTCATTCAGGGCAATAGCATTACAGTAAGGGCTGGGCAGAAGGGGAAATAATATGGTTCAGGGACTGTGACATAGACTAGTGGTCCCTGTTCCACCCCTTGACATGTGGTTCCCATAAATGGTGCATCTACATATACTCTGTTTGAAATCTTGGGTAAGCTAATGACAGTCCTGCTTGCTCTGTTGTATTTTGAGAAAGTAAGATTCCGTTGTAAATATTCAGTACGTGTACTGTCCCCCGTGAAGACCAGGTATGAGTTGGTCTTAGCAGTTCATGCTTGTCGTAAGAGGCGGTTAACGGGACAGGGTGGTCTGATTCGCTGAGTTAGTTTTTGTATATATTATCTTGTCCTAATTGCGTAGATCGATGCTCATGATGTCAGTCGCTGGATTCTATTATCTACAAACAAACTTCTTATAGGTGGAATATGGCGGCGTTGAACAATGAACAAATAAAACAAGCCTGTTAGCTTGTTAGCCTGTTGGTTCATGTCCTGTGGATAATACACACCTGCAAACGGACAGCCTCCGTGGTCTATTGGTAGAGCCTCCAACCGGAGAGCGGCAGATCCCCGGGGTTCGATCCCCGGCCTCGTCATACCAAAAGACGTTTAAAGATGGTACTTGTTGTTACCCTGTCTGGCGCTCAGCATAAAGGGGCTAAAACAAGGATTGGTCGGCTCGGAGTCAGTATACTGTGTCTGAGTGGGGTATTCATGTTAAACTGCGGCATGGCATCTCAGTGTGCTAGCACTATAAATCGGTATGAGTCCGGACTAGTACAAGCAACCACACACACACGTGCATGCACGTCGCTATATAAGTGAAATAATCTTGGACGCGACGTTAAACCCAATTTCACCTCACCTCTCACGTGTAATTTTACAGGGGGATTTTACGACCGCTGTAAGCTTCCCTTTGTTGAGTCCCCAGGCCTGACCACCCACTCCATTAAGTCACCTTTTACAAGCTAGGGGCCAATACTAACCCTGGAATTG